CACAGGATAAAGTGAGAACACCATTTCACAGCAGGGCCTGGGAAGTGATAGGAAACCACTCCCCCCAGGATAGTCTCCGGGGTAGAGAGCACATCTGGACAGGAGCCCAGGGCAAATCCTCACCTTCTCCACCCTCTGCTTCCCTTAGGGGGCACCAGGCAAGCTGCCATGCAGATGGCTGCGGTGAGAGCTTTCAGCTGTGTCCTGTGGGAACACTGGGAGGTCACTAGCCCCTGTGTTGGAGCTGCTCTAATACGGGCTGATCTATTTGTCATCAATATTTTCTGATGTACTTTTGGGCAATTTTCCACCTTTTACCATTCTCACTATATACCCCATTATATGCATTTGCTTAAAATTATAAGGTAAATTGGAAGAAATACACTTTTGGAGTGGAAAAACATTTGTTCCTAATTTTGAATGATATTATCCTTCCTTAAATTTTATAATTACAATGCCAACAACAGTGTGTGACATAACTGTGGTTTCTTCATACCCATACCAGTTTAGCATATTATGAAGTACTGTATTTTACAATCTAAGCTAAAAATATTATCAGAACATGAAATGACATTTTCATTATTGTTAATTTGTAATGAGTGAAGTCAAACAACTATATATACATGAAAATATTTAATATTTTTATTTATTCAATTTGTCTTCTATTCTGTTAGCTCTTTTCAATAATTTGCAGATTGTTTTTATTCATTAAAGACATTGCTGCATTTTTCAAATTATTTGGTTGGGGGGATGTCGTTAGATGTATATTTTATGGAAGGTTAAATTGTATTGTTTTCAATTTCATATTGAAAAAAATTTTCATATATTTGATATTTAGGTTTCTGGAATTTGTCATACTTAAAAGGATTCCAAACATTTTTAGATTACAAAATTATTTTTCAAGCTCTGTAAATTTACATTTGAAAATCCATAAATACCACACGTGTATTTTCAAATGTTAAGAATTTCACTTGAGTGTAGTTTTGGGGTTGTGGTTGTTTAGTTTAAAATAAGAATTTTCACTAAAACACATTTTGAATTTTATAAAATGTTTTCTTGCATATATTCTAGATCATATATTCTAATAATATGTCTTTAAGTACTTGGGAACCTCTGAGATGGAGGTGTAAAACAGGTCACCGAGCACTGTTGAAAAGACTTCTCGGATTTGCACAAATGTCAGAGGCTGGAAGAGAAGTAAACAGCCATGGTCTTCCTCGTAGTCTTTGGAGAAGCCAGTGGGTTCAGCGCTGTGGGGCAGGAAGACTCTGAGCAGCAAGTGAAGGGTGTACATTCTCCCTCCTCCCACCCTTTTCGCAGAGAACCCTCTGAGACTCCGTGTTGTCTTCTGGGATGAAGAAAAGCAGACACCTGCAAGCATTGCATTGGCACCAAGGCCTTGCTCGGTGTCTCTTAGACACTCATTTTACCCCTTGATTGATGACCTTAAGGTGATCTCAGATGAGGAAGGAGAGCTACCACATTTTCCTACCAAATAGTAGCACAGCCAGATAATATTTGAGAAGGGATGTAGTTTTGCATAATATAATTAGCCCTATATAAAATGTGATAGAAGACAGCTGTCTGTTCACAAGACAGCTTTGACAAGGGCTCACTGGGGCTCGGAACATGAACCCCATCCTTTTTCCAGGTGGCGATATCAAGGCCTCATGTGTGCACAGGTGGCCCATCACAGAAAAATATAACCTGGGTCCTGAGCAACAGATAACGTTATCATGAAATAAGTCTTCAATCCAGATGTCTTATTGAGTTCTATTCCTTTCCATAATGGTGCTGCTTTTGCTTTTCAGTAACTCAAGTTGGGAGATTTCATTTCTCACTTTACACAACTAGTTAGCGGTAGAGTAGTGATCAGAACACGGGATCACCCAACACATCCCCATGCTCTTCTTTCCCTACGCGTCCTCTGAGGTGAACCTTGAAGGCTAGAAACTTCTTCCAACACAAAACCCTTGCCTTTCAGCTTTGCCAGTGCCTCCCCTTCTGTTGTATTTAATCAGTCTCCTTCTGTAACCACTGGAGTGACCTAACTGCACAACTGGAAGAGCTTGAATCCCCTAGAGAAGAGGCTGCTTGAGAGGAATATTGAAGGGGTATTTTTTCCAGCGAGCATTTCATAAGGCACCAAGACATCCATGCACACCCTGAAGAAACTGGTTCAACCTTCATTAATTAAGTGACATCATTGTATTCCCTTGGACATTAGTGAGAAAGGAGGTCTTGTGGGAGGAACAGCGAGACTGCACAGTGATATTATGTGCTTTTTAATGTTGTTATCTCCAACTTTCTCAAGAATTTTCTCTGCTTTGAAGTAGTTCAAATATAGTACGTTTTCTTTGTGTTTTCAATCAATTAAACAAGTTGACAAAGGAAAATGATGGATATTCAAAGACTTCCAATTTTTGGAAACTCAAAAATATCTACCTGGCACCTTGCATTCTTCAGTCACAGAGTGCCAACATCCCTTTTGAAGTTGAATAAAGGCATGTCTTATCCACAGTGTACTACACAAAGTTTAGGATCAAAAGAAGAGATACCTTTTAGAGTTCATGATAACAACTGAAAAAAGTGAGACCAGTTCCTTCTTTTTCGGTTATTCATCTCCACCTACACTAGCCTATTATCTCTTCTAATAGTGACTGAAATTGTGTCCTAGCAGGACTTGCTACTTTCTGTCCAGAAATGTCTTTCTGCAAGTCAAAGCCACATGCAGTCTTCATAGTGACAGCTGTCAGATAGCACCTCTCAGATGTTAGGGAACACCAGGATCCCCTGAAGAACATCTAAGCAAATATTGTGGTGCCCTCTCTCAGACTTTTGATTTAGTAAGTTTGAATGGGACCTGAATACACTACTTTTAACAGTTTTCTAGTGCTGCTAATTGGGCTGGCCTCTGAATCAAACGTTTAGAATTATTTGCCTAAAACCTAAAATTATCTGTATCACTATGTTCCAAAACACTTCAGGGTTTCTTTAACCAGCCTCACATGACTCTCTATCACTTTGCCCTTGACTAATTCTTACATTTTTCTCACTTTCCCATGCCTCAAGTGGCATGGTGACAAAGTTAAAAAATATAGCTATTGAAGGTGGGCACATACATGAGCAAAGACAGGTTACGTGTGTGTGTGTGTGTGTGTGTGTGTGTGTATGTGTAAAACATAAGGTTATTCTGTAATGAGAAACACATAGCAAACAATTTGCAAATAATATTCTAGATGATAAATTTTATCATAAATTCCATCTCATAATCAGTTGATTCTCATAGGATAATTTTGTTGATTTTTTACTCTTTTATCCATGATCACATACAATCTTCATCATATATTATTTCTTTTTTTCTACAAGCCTTTAAAAATATAAAATCAGTGTTAAACCACAAGTCACAGGAAAATAAGATTCAAACCATTCGAGTCTAGATAATCTAAAAGACAGTTTACCAAACCATAATTTGCAGCATGTTTCAGTATCTGTGGTGTAAAAATTTCTAGTCTGGCGGATTTCAAACTATCCAAGTGATGTCACAGAACATAGAATTGGGAAGGAATTTGCTCTTTCAGCCCAGTGTAGGGTATTTCTACTGCATGGGTAGAAAGTTGCAAGTTCATTTCATTACATGTTTACTTAACTTTAACAACTATGTATATGAGGTTATATATATGAGGTGGCTCACCAAGCTCCTAAAAGTGTAACATTCGGCCCTCAGGAGCTGAGCTGACTCTGATGCACCACCGCTGGGCTCTTGTGATGAACTCCACACCTGGAGTGCTGTTTGGCTTTCTATTCACTGTGCCCTCACACACATTGCTGACCTTTGACATCAGGATCAAGGTATCCTTCTCCCAAGACTTACCAATGTCTGCTGCAGAACCTGCTGCCCTGTCCTAGGCTGACCCCAGTGTTCTCTCCGGGGATTCTCTCCATTGTCACCTCCACAGTCCCATCCTTCAGTGCCTTATTTTGCCATTAGATTGTGAGCTTCTGCAACTTAAGGACTTGCCGTTTCTCATTTCTGAGCCCAGCCCAGAGCCAGGTATCCAGGAGGGGGACAACAGAAACTGCGCTATTTGCAAAGCTGGGTAACTCTTGGCTGCCAATTAGCACAGCTCTATGCAACCTTCTTTGTATGGTAGAGGTGCTGCACTTTACTTGCTGCTTTTGTTTGTTTGTCTTATTTTTTATTGTTTGGTACCAGAAATGAAACTCAGGACATTGTGCTTGTCAGGTATGTGCTGTGCCACTGAGCTATATCCCCAACTATTTTTAAATGGTTTTTGTTTGTTTGCTTGTTTTTGTCTTTTTGAGGCAGGGTCTCACTGTGCAGTTCAGGCTGGCCTTCAGCTCACTTTGTAGCCCAGGCTAGTCTCTAGCTCACAACGATCCTCCTGCCTCAGCCTCTGGAGTGCTGGGATTACACAAGTGTGCCACCATGTCCAGCGAGCTGCTGCATTTCAATAGGCCTGGTCTACAGCAGAGCAGGGAACAAACAACTCTCCATGTATATTAGTAAAAGCCTGCATCGGAAAGAATTCAAAAAGACTGTGCTGATAGCAAAGATTTAGATGCCTGGAGATTTTGTTTATGCTATGTGTATCTTTCATTAACCCTGCAAACTGAAGTTGTTTTTAAAGAGAAAATGACTGTATAAAAAACAGACTCAATAACGACACAGACAGGTTGCAAGAACACACACACACACACACACAGAGTCAAGAGAGTTGAAGTACTGAGTGTAGTGCTCACAGATAATCTGGGGCCTTCTGAAGGACCCCAACTCCCACCAGCATCTCCGCACCTCACTTCTCAGATGCTTTTGCTTGAACTCCTCCCTCTGTAGGCTGCCTGGCATAGCCAGATGGGAGGTAAGTCTCAAGGCAAGATTCTCCATTCCTTGGGGCCTCACTTCTCCCAGTGGCCATGTTTACTGAATTTGCTCAGAGTTCTTGAGCAAAGGGGATATGCGGGGGGAGTCAACTCACCTCATAATCAATGTCCAAGGCATCTGCCTCGCCCTTGGTCCTGAAGTGCTGCGTGTGTTTGTCCACGGTGAAATTCACCTGCTTGCCCACACGCTCAATGAGGACGGAATGCCAGTGCTGGTCATCCAGGAGGCTGCCCAGGGTGGCAGAGGGCGGGCTGCTGCTGAGCCGAGCTTTGCTGTCATCTGTGAAGAAAGAGGAGGTGGGATGGCGTCTGTGCCCAAGGGCAGCTTTTAGCACTAGTGTTCTGCAAGATTGGCCAGGTTCCTCTGTCCTAAAGGTAGGGAGTCCTTATCTCTCCAGGCCCACACCATGAGAGACTTGTGAATGAATAACACGCTTTGTCCACAGATTCCAAGACTGAATTTTAATCCAATTGAATTAGCTCCAAGGCAGGCAATTAAATGTTTCCTGGACTTCAACAGTTAAATAATGAAAGAAAAACTAGATGCTAAGGGCCTCATGAATTAGACTAAAAAGCAAGGTTTTCCATTTTTGGGAAAACCTACATGACCTTTGAGCTTGAGTGTTTCTTGAATGGAGCAGGCAAATTTTGAAATGTGCAGAGGCAGAAGAATAAACTTGGGGGTGAGTCTGAGGAGACAGTGGGGCTGCAGAGTTAGAGAATGCTGCAGGCACAGGTCAGGAGATTTCACTCGGGTGACCACTGTCAGCAGCCTATTGCATGACCAATTCTTAAACAGGGAGTTTACGGCCTCTATTTCAATACTTCGGTGGAAATTATTGTCTCTATTTTGCAAGTAAAGAAATCCGAGGCTCAGCGAGGTAAAGCGCACAGCCTTAAGCAGAGCAACTGGAATTTAACCCCAGTTTTGCTTCAATCATTTTTACTGTGCTTACGGCTCTGGATTATCCCTTCTTGCCCTCCTCTTCCAAGTTTATTCCTTCCTTTCCTGTAGCTTTCCATGGAAAAGATAACAACTTCCTCCGGCTGCAGCATTTGCCTCCCCCAGGGGAGAATGAACAACTAAATACAAGCAATCATTACGTATAAGTGAATGTTCAGTTTGGGGTGTATTTCACATACTCAGCTAGAAGTCTCTCCACTCCCCTGCCGTATGTTTTCGTGGCACAGCGTGCAGGCAGCCTGTTCAGGAGTGTGACATTCAGGGTGCAGGAACTGCCACTTCCCCGTAGGCTGCTTACTCCCACCTGCAGTATGGCCCCGAGTCACTTTTCCTTCACTTCAGAGCACAGAGCTGCTTCATACAGACGTGTGACGGGGGAAACCACACTTAGGCTTAGAAGAGGAGAGCTGGCATTTGAACACCTGACTGTATTTCATTGCTTTATTACTTGTTCCACAACTAATTAACTGCTACATATTTTCCTTTGCTTTCTCACTCCCTCTTCCTCCTTTTACGAAAAGATGTTGTAATCTAAGGAGATGTAGCTAAAATTAAAATGTGTGCTGCCCCTCTGAAGGTCTTAGTGTGGGGCTCTCACCCAATAAATCTGTACCAAGTGTCCGGTGGTAATCAGCAGTGTGCAGAGATAGCGTGGACCTGCAGCCCGGAGAGTGGGCAGCAGCAGGGTGAGCTCAGACTGGAGGAAGGAGCCGGAAGAAGCCCAGCACTACAGTTGGCTGACGGGCAGGCTCACGTTATCCACAGCTGTTTTTCTCTATTTTTTACTTTTTCCTTTTTGAGACAGTAGGCAGTTCAGGCTGGCCTTGAGGTCCCTTTGTAGCCCATGTCGGTGGCAAATATTCAGTGCTTTTGGAGCAAGGTTACAGAAGGCATTTTCTCTTTGAGGAACAGGAGTTATGGATGTGCTAGCAAGTCCACGAGTCCAGACGAACCTTGAAGAAAGGGTATTTGGGCAGCAACATGAGAATTTGCTTCTCATGGCCCCACTGTTTTCTCTAGTTTGTGTCCTTTCAGTCTCCTGCTAGAAATTCATCAGAGTCCGTTTGCAGTAGCCACCCTCAGAAAATAGGCCCTAGGTCTAAAATTTTGCCTGTTAGGCTAGAAAAAATTGTGCTTCTCAGTAATTCAGAGTATATTGCGCTTAATATAAATAAGGTTGAAAATCTTTTCATTGTTTTTCTTGTCTGGGAAAAAATGCACCTTAGCTTGTGTGCCTTTATTTTTCCATCAATTTGTTTTTTGTCTATAATTTAAATTTTGTAGTATATTTTGTTCTTTATTTTACTTTTTTGTACCAGGAATCAAACTCAACACTTTGCACTTGCCAGGCAGGTGCTGTGCCAATGAGCTCTATCCCTGGCTCTTTATTTGATCTTTGATTATGCCTTTTTTGTTTCTTTATTTACCATTTAGGTGTTTTTGTGTTGGAAAAGGTATCATTTCCTTTTCTTTATGGCTTCTGAATTTGTGTTGTAATTTAAAAACGGATCCCCTTTTTGAGATTAGAAGAATTTATCCAAGATTTCTGCAATTTCATTTCATTGGACATGGCTTCTAAAATATAGCATAAAGCACAGTTCTATTTTCCAGTTTTAGATGATTATCAAATTGCCTCCAATCTACTACCTTAAAATCCCTGAGTGATACTTTCAAGGAAACAAGGTACATTGAGTTCAAATATAAGGAGAAACTCTACTAAGCTGGATTAGTAAGTTTGTCACATTGATCAGTTCAGTCTTCTCTTAGCAGATTTTAAAATCCTGATCATTCAAGTAGTAAGTTTTCAGATTGGTTGTTGCCATCGTATTCTCAGTGTAGTCACTGCCACAGTCAGGATCACCAGGGGAATGGGTAAGTTACTCTGTGTGGGAAACACTGGTAGCCTTGTTCTCACTCTCAAAGTCTGAAGTCAGCCCTTCCTCGCCTCCATCCTGACCCTGCCTCCGAAAGCTGGTGACCATCATTCCATCCAATAGTTCTGCTCCTTGTAATTGTTAAGGTTTTAGTGAGAAAATGCACCTCTCTTAGAATAAATAGTGCCTACTTCTTGCTCACTGAATTTAATGAAACTATAAACCTTAATTAGTACACTTATCATTTTATGCACTGTGGCTCATGAAATTTTTATGAATACATAACACAATTTGTTGACCTTTCCACAAAACCGGATTAACATTGCTCTCTGTTTATTTTGCTCATTTACTTAACCAATATTTTCCTTGCCCAAAGATAATATAAAATTCAATTCCACCGATCTTTCAGAAAAGTCTATGCCAAGAAATAGTGAAGAAAATTTTTAAAATTGTAGCAGGGTGCCTAGTCATCACTTTTTGGAAATCTATCCCAATAAAATAAATTAAAATGTGGTTAAAAAAATTTAAATGGATGATGATTTAAAAATTAGAAATGATGTCCAATAATTTGGAAAGAGCAAAAAATTACATCAAGCATACTTCGAATCACCAGAGAGAATAGTATGCAGCCATCAAAATATCATTCAGTAAATACTTATAGCATTTAAAGAAGGATGTGATGTAGAATGAGAACATATATTTCATCTCTGGAGGCTAACTAGCCCAGAAAGACAGTGCTAAGGCCTTGAATGATTATATATAAGATGAATGAATGGTCTCATCATTACCCATGAGAGACCTTTGAAATAATGTTTGTCCTTTCTTGTAGAAAATAAAGTAAAAATAAGTGAAATGCTTACTAATTTATAACCTACTGATTTAAAATATATAAAAGCAGAATGAGAAATTATAAATATAGACCACAAAATGTACAAATAAACAGTATGAGCAGATAAAACTTTGCATTTATCCAAATATTATTTTTTCTATATTTTAGAATGAACGTGAATACTTTTAACAATAGGAAAAGATAAATTTCATTAAGGACACAACCTTCATCCTCAATAGCTGAATTATTGAAAAATGCATAACTATTATATGCAAATTATTGAATATTTCCTGAATTCCAAGTTATTTTTTTTCAGTGCTAGTGATCAAAACCAAGGTTTGCACATGCTAAGCAAATTCCTTACCACTGCCCTACATGCTCAGCTTACAGTTTACTTTTTAAGGTAAAAGTAGTAGATATGAAAGAACCTTGCCTCCCTTCCATTGTTGCTAACATTCAGAAATTTTGCATTATAAAATGTTAAGTGAAAGGTGATTGGGTTAAATTATTGGGTACACAAAATATCTGCTGTTCATGAAGCAGGATATTTAGAAGTTTTTCTAAAAAGCAAGAAGAATTACAGTGCAAATATTTCATTTTACCTAGAAATCTTTACTATTAGAACTCATTAGAAAAACTTAACTCTCAGGATATTATTGAACTTTTATCTTCCAGTGTCTATTTCAAGTTTTATCTCATGGCTCTTGAGTTCCAATTACTTAGTTTTAACTAATTTCCAACTTATTAAGGCATGATCAAGTCTTCATGGCCCCATGTGAAGGACAAAAACAATACAAGTATAAAAGGTAATTTTTGGCCCTGAAACATAAGGAAAAGCTTCTAATTAAATAAGATCTTTTCTTCATTTGACCCGAAAGATACTTAAAATGAAGCAAGGTAAGTACTAAGACCTTATAACAATTTATATAGAAATGTAAAATGATTGCCTTTCCAGCTTCATTTGATTTACCTCCTTCCCCTCAGCCTGCTGTACATAAACATGGCGATGTCCCCCCTCTTGTTTGGTACTCACATTTTCAGGTAAAAAGCATCATACCAAACTATTTTCACCTAGATACCTTGTTCAATTAAATCTTGTTGCTTAGTCTGATCTTCACAAATCAAATTTTCCTGCCCTGTGAACTTAAGGCAGCCTGAGGAAAAGGGGATGAGCACTCTCGTATTTAAGGGAGTATTTTGGTTAAAAAAAAAAAAAAAAAAAAAAGTCATTCCTTGGAAGAGATTGATTTACTGTTGATAAAACAATAGCTAGCTGTGAAGTTTTCTGTTTCTTTTTCCACCTGACCTTCAGAATTGGCCCTTCCAACTTTAATGTGTCAGATTATCAATATTGGAATTCATTAGTACTTAGCAAGCTTCTCCCATAAGTCAAACATTTTACATAAGTTGTTTATAATATTCCTGAACACAGCATGGCAAAAATTTCAGTCTGCAAGAAGCCAGAAGATTTACCCAAGGACACAAAGAATTCGTGCCACCATTTGGCACCACCTGACTACTTCCTCTGGGAAAAAATGATGTTCTCATTCTCCCTCATTTCTCATTTTGTGACTAACTGCTTCCCACTATACAAGCATGTAAGCTACATTGATAAGTCAGAATGGAAAGTGTCAGGAAAGAATGTGATGAATTGGAAAACAAAGTGTTGTGGCAAAGGAAATGGTAATGCAGGAAAGGAAGGATGTGATGCAGAATGAGAGCATAAATATCGTCTCTGTAGGCTAATCAGCCCAGAGAAACAGTGTTACACCCTTGTATGATTATATACCAGGTGCATGAGTGGTCCCATAATTACCCACATGAGATCTTTGAAGAAAATAGTCAGGAAGCAATGTGATTCTAGAGGACTTGATTCTCAAACCAGGATAACATCGATGTATTATTAAAGCAGTGAAATACAAATTTTTTGGTGTAAGGAGATTTCTTAATATTAATGAATAGAAATACTTTGCAGACTTTTGAGTAGTTTTATCTGCCCTTAAATTTGTATCTATTTTCTGTGACATTACTTCTTTACAAAAATGTTGCCTTAATATGTTTATGTTATATGTTTTTGATAATGAGTATTTATTATATTTTAATTAATATCCAAAATAAATAACAAGGACAAGTAAGTATTTTACTAGACTGGAATTTCCTTAAAAATAAGGACTGGCATCAGAGCATTCAGGCTGACACTTATAACCTCAGCTATTAGGGTGGCTGAGGAAGGAGGGTTGTGAGTTCAAGGCCAGCCTGGACATCTTAGTGGGCCTCTACCTCTACATGGAAACATGAGTAGGTTGTAGATGTAGCACAGTGGTAGAGCACTTGCATGGCATAAGTGAGATCCTAAATTCCATTCTCTGAACCCCCAAACGAGGGAAACAGACAAATTCAACTTTTAAACCATCAGTAGCAAGCTCAGTGTCTGAAGTAATAAAATTGGCCATCTACAGTTATCGCCTGATCAGCAGAATTGATTAAAAAATGTGCACCTTCCCCACTGCAACTGTTTGAAATGCTTCTATTTCTCCCTTCTTTAAGAGCAAACCTCCACACAACTCAAAGTTAACTGTGTACCCTAGGTGCTCCTGATCTTGCCATTCTTAAAATTTAACCCATGAACGCCAATTGCCTGATATCTGATACACAATTGTTTGGAGAAGGTTTACAACACATTAGCGATTAATGTCAGGGCACTGCGGAATGACAGAAGAGAGCACTTATCCCAGCTGTACATCTATGCAATGATAGGATCTTAAGCAACTGGTGAACATCAGTGAATGGTTTCAGAGCTAATGTGGTCTGTCGCATGATTTACATTATATACACAGTGGACCCTCAAATTGTGACCAGCCCAACATACGAATAACTTGGATTTTGAACAGAATTTTAGGTTTAAGTTAGAACAAAATTCTTGAGTTATGACCCAAATTCTGGCCACTGGTGCAACTGTAAACAAAGACTTGCAATGCCAGAAAAGCATATGTAAGAGTACATGAGCCTGTCTGAGCCCAGATGTGCGTGTTTGTGGACATGATTTCATTCAGTGCTGTAATATAAATAATATGATTACTGCTATCAAATGTGCCCCCAAAAGCTAGAAAAGAAGCTAGGGAAGGAAGGGAAGGTAAAGAAAGCAATAATAATAAAAAAGAACAGTGTCAAAGAAAAGACAGAAACAGATACACTTAGGCTAGTTTTTAGTTCAGAAAACACTAAGACCTAGTGAGCCAGAAGGTCCTAATGGGCTACAGACTCTCCTGAGGAGAGAAAAGACAGCAGAGAGCCAGGTCCCTGATGTTCTTATGGAAGGGGCCTCTCCTTCCAAACAATAACCAGCTTCTATTTCACCCTCCCTTCCTACAAATCAAAAACGTCAACTTGAATGGTGAGTACAGTATGAAGCTATTGTTTCTCATAAAGTACGCACATTTTATAACTTTTTGATGAATGCAGTAGGAAAATTGTTGGTGTTTCTCCCAAAGAACACATATTAAACACTCTTTTGTTATTATAAAATGTTAGTTAAGGCATCCTTTGGGAAGTTTGGAACACATTATGGGTATTTCCATTATTTCTTATGGAAAAAGTAGTCTTGACTTACAACCAACTTGAGTTACAACTAGCCCTTGGGAACAAATTGAGTGCACAAGTCAAGGGTCCACTGTATTAAATTTTAGACAGCGTTTTTATAATTAAAGAGTTTAAGACAGTGACCAAATGCGAGCTTTCAAAAATGGCAACTTGAAAAATCAATGTCCCCATCAACATGATAAACATTCCATAAATATATTTGAGTTGGCTTCTTAAAATGCTTGAATTTCAAAGGAGCCAAAGTAAAGAAAGCTGTGTTGTATTCTTCGGCAGATGTGAAAAACTATCACAGATGTCTTTTTGAGTTGATCAGGTAGTCAAGGACTTTGACTTCTGAGCCTTGGATTTAGCTCTGATGGGGACCCTGCTCTGCACATGTTTATTCTAGTCCAGGGTTGCTCTATACTTCAGCTCTGTGTGCTGAGTACTGCTTACACATTCTGTCTCAGTTCAAAGGTATTGGAGTCTGGGAGGATAAGTGACCAATATGTACTCTTGATGTCTTGTTTAATTCCTGCACCTCCCAGTCATGTAATTCTTTTCTTTGATTCTCCACTTGCCCTTATGGGCTCTGGATGTTGTAATTCTATAGAGTGTAGATTGTCACAGGTGAGTTGAGTAAGATGCACAATAAGTCGAAATGGGAATCTCCCTAACTCCTCTATGGACTGAAAGAAGAAATCTAGGGAGGTCAGGGTTATAGCTCAATGGCATAAGCACCTACCTGGCAAGCACAAGGTCCTGAGTTTGATTCCTGGTACCAAAAAAATCTCTTTCCCACTTCCTAGTTTAGCAAAATAATCAATGTTCTACCCTAACAAAGTAGGCCAAGCAGAAGTACCTCGTTAAATCTCACCATAGAACTGACTCTGCCCATGTCACACTTGGGACATATAACTACATAATATGAATTGGGGAGTCATCAAAGACTGTCACTTGAACAACAGTATACTGTCATGTAAGTGGTTTATATTTAATTTAATATATTAGATATCCATTTTATGAGTTAATCTTGGATATCTCTAGGTTATTCCTGCTACCTTGCCCATACTCCCAATGAAGGCCAAGAAGATTCTTAGGAGTGCCTCAGAATAAAGCCCTAGAAGGTTTGGTTTTAGATTTTTCACTAATCTTCAATCTGATGTCTCTTCTGCTAATTGCTGAAATATATTTGTTGTTTTCTTTCCAGTCTCCATGCAACTTGCACTTACAGACTGCAATTTGCTATGTCTTTCTGACTTTGCTATTTGATAGTAAATACCAGCAGGTAATTCTCTCATCCTGTAACTGGCAATGATAGAATCCATCCCACAGCAGGAAGCTAAAATCTGAACTTTTGCAAGAGGCAGGAGGAGCATTCTGTACTAAGTAGCTGACCTTAAATAAATCTGCGGCTCACCCTGCCACATCCAGACCACCATGACCTCCTGAAGAATGTAGCACTCCATTGCCTGACCCAGCAAAATAATAGGCAGAGCCTTACCCTACCTAAGTTTAGGTACAGGGTAAGCCTCCCCTGCTGGAGCTCCAAGGTGATGTGGTCGCCACGTTGGCCTTCTCCATGGAACAAGACTCCATCTCCTTGCATGCTCTTGAACTTCAGGGAGATCACATCTTTGAGAGTGCTCATCAGCTTCTGATTGAACCTGTACAGAAGCGAGCTTCGGCCATCAAAGTCAGCAACGTCTGATTCTAGGAGGGAGGAGGGAAAGAAAAATCAGTGTAAATCCGATGATTCATTGTTTCTGTTTCCTACCTTAGTTGCTGCCCAATTCACATGGATGTTTTTGAGATCAGAAAGGCCTTGTCTCAACAAAACACATACAGGCTAGACCTAACTTAATTAGACTCAGAGGAATTTCTCATTTACAAGCAACCACCCCACACTGAGTCAAAGTGAACTGATCATCAGCGTAGAGGCAAAGAACTCTCATTAATGACACGTCAGACTTTGCTTGAGGGGACAGGGTGAGAATATCACAAATACCTATGTCAGGCTTATCATGTCAGGTAGCTGTTTTATAATAACTTTTCATGATTTATACTGCTTATTAATTTGCTTCTGACAGTTGGAACCATTTGATCTCCTCATCAAGGCAGGAGAGGAAAAAGAGATATAGTTTGTTATGCCTACTAGGATTGAATGGTTCAATCTTTTCAGAATCCTGTATTGAGAAGGCTTCTGAGGCTCCTTCTGAGTTAAGAATGAAGGAAAACTCACGAAGGAAAGCTTGGTATTTTATTGGGTAGAGCAGATACAGTGCATCTCTGCCTTCCTTGTCTGGTCCTATGCTGATAGTACATATCTTTTCAGTGTTTTCATCCAAATTATTCATTTATTGTTATTTTTTGTCTTTCTTCTAACTAGAGATATCTTTAGTGTATTAGCAAAAATTGCACACATTTAAGGGAAAGATGTGATATTTTGATACAGGAATACATTCCATAATGTTTAAATCAGAGTAAGCATATCAATCTCTGAAAATAATTGTTTTGTTGAAATAAAAATATTGAAATACTTTCTTCTAGTTTTTATAATTATCATTTGCTATAGTTATTCTACTGTGCAATAGGACACCAGAACTCACTTCTACCATCTAACTATAGCTTAGTATCCATGGACCAACCTTTCCCATCCTTCTCTCCTGTCTAATGAATCCAGGCCCCTACTCTACTATCAATTTCTATGTGATCAATTTTTATAATGCACATATGTGTCAGATCATATGGTACTTGTCTTCCTGTGCCTGACTTATTTTTAACATAAGGTCTCCCAATTCCATTATTTTTAAAGCCAAAAAGAGAAGGTCAAATTATCATGATTCAAAGGTATGCCAAGAAAGCTAATAGGAACTTTATTTGGGAGCTGCTATTCTAGGTTACTGTTATATCCTTTTCCCAGTGATTTATTATGAAAACTTTTACAGTAAACTTTTATTACTTTTACAATAAGAAAAATCCAAACTTATTTATAACTTGAAACAGATTCCTTACATACCACCTCACATGGGTGAAGTATAAGTGAATGACTATATGAAAGAGTTGAGTTTTCTTCTTTGAAATCTAAAACTTAGGAAAACTGAGTTTTTCAAGATTTGCAAGCAAAGAAAATTTGCAGCTTCACATATAAAATGACAAATTAAGTACATTTTCTGATCAAAAGTTGAGAAATAGTCTTTGCAAAGCTAAGTTTTCGAAATAGAAAAATAAAATTCTATTTTTCCATGATTTGTTTTAGAACATATTTTCATAATTTATTCCTCAAGAATAAAGAGATGGATGACTCCAGATTGTGTAAAGATCCTGTCCAGATGCAAAGAGATTTTCAGAAGCTCCTACTCTTCTCAGAACTACCCAGGCCCATCAGTGATCTCTGCCTGTGCTCTGAGCTAGACTTCCATTCGAGTCCAGTAGGGGCTCCAAAGGCATGTGAGGTATATGAGAATGTGAGTTTACACTCTGATAGCCATAGTTTCTCAGCTCAATCACCTTGGGTATCTTTACATCGGTAAGACTGGATTTCTTTATCTACAAATTGGAGGTGATTATGGCCATTAGAAAAGAATGGCAGAAGAAAGGAACATGGAATAAAATTCAGCAACATATCATAGCATCTCCAGGAGCAGCAACCTCGACACTTGGCAAACAACAGCTTAGTGAAAAGCAAGGAAGAGGTCCAGGATCCATTAAAAAACAAACAGAAAAACTCAGAAACCATAGAGACTCTAGTGAAACTGAAGACAACAGTAAAAGAATGCCAACCCTGGCTCCTGGGGAGGGAAACCTGTTTGGGCAAATACAAGGTAAACCTTGAGAGGGCTGGCCACTGCAGGGGGAATCAAAAAACCAAGTCATTGCTGTTAGCCCTAAGAAAAGTCCCCAGTTATTACAAATTGCAAAAACAATGTAGCATTTTACTCTTAAAATGATTCCTTCCACATGGCAAGCTAATGTTGCAGAAGAAATCCACTGTATCACCACCACATCTAAAGGGGCCATTTTGGGGAAGGGTTATTGTTTAAGGGAATCAGAAGCCACAGAACAGCTGCACATAAGGTCTGTGAGTCACTTTATCACGGGAGTTGACCCCTTTTACATTAGCATCACTATTAAACTTTATTGATTTTCACATATTTAGTTGATTGCTGAATTATTTTCTATTGTTAATGGTGGTATAGTTGTTACATGTAATAGATGTTTAGTGTATGTCAATATTTCACTTGCGTTTGTTCCTATAATTGCAGATAGCTTTTCAGTTGTTAAAGGTGGTATAGTGACAGGGTTTTGCTTCTTATTGTGTATCAATATCTGGTTTGTCTTTGATAGAAGCTGATTTCTTTGCTATTGCCAGTGGTGGCCCTCCTATTGCTGCTGATATTAGTTGGATTTGCTATATGTTAGTCTCTGGTTTGTATTTGTGTCATCAACATCATTGCAGTTCTTTTTTTCCTCCATGTGTGGTAATAGTGATCAAGTCCCCAGAAGAAAGCTGGACACTAAGGTGAACTTCAAATCTTACAGTGAGTAGGCTGAATAGTGGTACAAACACTGAAAAATCACCAAACACAAAAACATATCACAGGGCCAGGCATGGTGCTACACTCTTGTAATCATAGCACTTAGGAGGTTAAGACAGAAGGATCGCTGTGAACTAAAGGCCAAATGGGGCTACATGGTGAGTTCAAAACCAGACTGCACTACAAAGCCAGACCCTGTCTCACACAACAGCAGCAAAAATCACAGAGAAACAGATTCTAAGTGAAGAGATCTCCACAGCAGTGAAAAGTAGAGAAAGTTACAAGAACTCAAAACTAAAATGGTCAAAATATTTTAAGAGCTCAAAGAAGAAATACATAAGCAACTTCATATGATGTTTCATGAGCTAAAGAAGTACTGACTAAAGAAGATTTTACTAAATGGAAAAGGGATTTCCCTAATAAAATGTTCAACAAATCTAAATAAGAAATTCATTTAAACAATATAATAGAAGATATGAGTGAGCAGTTCATAAAGAAATAAAAATTGTGAAAAGGACGCAAGCAGAAATACAAAATATGAAACATTCAATAGAAAAAATGCATAGCAGATTTGCCAATATGAGAGCAGAATATCAGAAATTGAAGATAAGGTGGATGTGGCACATTATAATCAGTTATGTCATGAAGGGGAAAAGACAACATGCAAGGTAGATCCATCAGCTAATGGATTACTCAAAAATATCAGAATTGTAGGGGAAAAAAGTAAAAGATGACTCAAAAGTTATAAAGAATTTATTCACCTAATTTATGCCCATAAAGTTTTCAAATCTTGTGAAAGAATTCAGTACTTAAGAACTATTATTTATATGTACCAGCTCCCCAGGATAATTGTAATTACTATGTACTGCAAGTATGTGCTAATTTAAAAAAAAAAAGAGGATTCAATATCCTAGTGCAAGAGGCATACACAGCCTTAAATAACCACAACCCAAAAAGGACTGCTCCATAATACATCAAAATAAAATTCCAAAAATTCGACCTCAGGAGAAAATAATAAATGCTGTTATAGAAAAGAAGCTTGTTACTTACAAAGGCAAGCCTTTCAGAACTACAAAAAAATTTATCAGCACAGATCTTCAGTGCTAGGAAGAATTAGAGTGAATCACTTCAAGCCTTAATAGAACATAAGTGTCAACTTGAAATTCTATCCTGCAAAATTAGCCTTCAAAATTGACAGAGAAGTAAAGACTTTCCATGACAATGAAATTCTAAAGAAAGATATAACCACTAAGCTAGCACTGGAAGAAGTACTCCCTGGAATACTCCACAGAGAAGGGAGGCCACCAATATCAAAGAGACCAAAGGAAAGTGTACATCTAACTGGGAGATAAATTAAACAAAAGCAATAAAAACATATATAAGTATAGTATGATGTATTTAATTCTTCTAGAAAGATACTGTAAGGGAATAGCTGGGTCAAATAAGCCCTCTAATCCTAATTTTTAGAGCAATCTCCATGTGTAGTGGCTGAACCTGGCTACACACCCCCCAACAGTAAAAAAGGATTCCTTTCTCCCCACAGCCCCTCCAGCACTTGTTACTGATTGATTTCTTGACGATAGCCATTTTTTCTAGAATGTTATGAAATTTCAGCATTCTTTCAACTTGCATCTCTCTACTAACCAGTATTGTGGATCATTTCTCCATATATTTATTTCCTATTTGTATTTCTTCATCTGAGAAGTGTGTATCCATCTCAGATGCCCATTTTGGGACTGGGTCTTTAAATTTGGTGGGCCTGATTTTTCTGCTCTTTATATGTTCTGGTTGTAAGTCCTTTGACTGAAGGACAACTGGCTAAAATTTTTTCCCACTCAGTGGATTGACTTTTCAATCTGTTGGTGATTTATTTTGTTGTGCAAAATCTTTTAATAGGATGATATCACATTTATTGATTCTTTGTGATCAGGGTTTTGTTCATGCGGTCTTTGCTTGCACTTGTGTCTTCAACAATCTATCTGCTCTCTCTCCAGCAAATTTAGTATTTCTGATTTAATATTTAGGTCTTTGATCCATTTTGATTTTAGTTTAGTACATGTTGATGGACATTGGTCTAGTTTTAGTCTTTGGCATGTTTATAGCAGCACGGTTTGAAATAGCTAAATATTGAAAACCACTCAAATACACAGAAACTGAGGAATAGGCAAAGAAGAT